GTAAAGTATTAATATGTATGAAAACAATTTATATTCTTGGTTCTTTCGGTAAAGTCACGTAGATAGAAAATAAAAAGAATAAAATTGAAGGAAAATTATTTAAAGTTTATTTTTTTTGTAAAGTCACGTAGACAGAAAAAAAAACTAAATAAAATTCAAATTATTTTAAGTTTATTTATTTTCATTTCATTTTTTTCGTTAAAGTCACGTAGATAGAAAATAAAAACAACAAAATCAAATTAAAATTATTTAAAGTTTATTTTTTTTGTTTTATTTTTTTCGGCAAAGTCACGTAGATAGAAAATAAAAATAATAAAATTAATTCAAATTATTTTAAGTTGATTTTTTTTACATTTTATTTTTTCCGTTCAAGTCACGTAGATAGAAAAAAATAACAAAATAAAATGAAAATTATTTTAAGTTTTGTTTTGTTTTATTTTTTTCGGTAAAGTCACGTAGAAAATAAAAATTACAAAATAAAATGAAAGTTATTTTTAATTTAAATTTTTTATTTTTTGTTTATTTTTTTATTTTCTATCCACGTGACTTTACCGAAAGACCCAATGACATGAATTCCTGCAGGGCGAAAGCGTCAACTCTAACTGACCATTCAGGACGGAACCTGTTATTCTTGGCCTCACATTCAACAGGGGGCGGGGGGGGAGTTGAGTTTTTCCACCTAACCCTGCTGGACCGGTTCCTGGTTCATCATTCCTGCGCCCTTTGAAGCCGAATACACACACAGACGAAGATCCCCCGTGTAGCCTCTAACAGACTGCAGTGGCAAGTGCTGTTAGCTCGCACCTCACACACAGACACAGACGAAGATCCCCCGTGTAGCCTCTAACAGACTGCAGGGGCAAGTGCTGTTAGCTAGCACCTCACACGCAGACACAGACAAAGATCCCCCGTGTAGCCTCTAACAGGCTGCAGGGGCAAGTGCTGTTAGCGAGCACCTCACACACAGACAAAGATCCCCCGTGTAGCCTCTAACAGACTGCAGGGGCAAGTGCTGTTAGCTCGCACCTCACACACAGACACAGACGAAGATCCCCCGTGTAGCCTCTAACAGACTGCAGGGGCAAGTGCTGTTAGCTAGCACCTCACACGCAGACACAGACACAGATCCCCCGTGTAGCCTCTAACAGGCTGCAGGGGCAAGTGCTGTTAGCTCGCACCTCACACACAGACACAGACGAAGATCCCCCGTGTAGCCTCTAACAGACTGCAGGGGCAAGTGCTGTTAGCTAGCACCTCACACGCAGACACAGACAAAGATCCCCCGTGTAGCCTCTAACAGGCTGCAGGGGCAAGTGCTGTTAGCGAGCACCTCACACACAGACGAAGATCCCCCGTGTAGCCTCTAACAGGCTGCAGGGGCAAGTGCTGTTAGCTAGCACCTCACACGCAGACAGACAAAGATCCCCCGTGTAGCCTCTAACAGACTGCAGGGGCAAGTGCTGTTAGCTAGCGCCTCACACACAGACACAGACAAAGATCCTCCGTGTAGTCTGTAACAGACTGCAGGGGCAAGTGCTGTTAGCTAGCACCTCACACGCAGACACAGACAAAGATCCCCCGTGTAGCATGTAACAGACTGCAGGGGCAAGTGCTGTTAGCTCGCACCTCACACACAGACACAGACAAAGATCCTCCGTGTAGCCTGTAACAGACTGCAGGGGCAAGTGCTGTTAGCTAGCACCTCACACGCAGACACAGACAAAGATCCCCCGTGTAGCATGTAACAGACTGCAGGGGCAAGTGCTGTTAGCTCGCACCTCACACGCAGACACAGACAAATATCCACCGTGTAGCCTCTAACAGACTGTTGTGGCAAGTGCTGCTAGCGAGCACCTATGAAGGCTACCGGCACTGTGGCACACACAGAGGGGGTGGGTGGCCAGCACCACGCCCGGCCGCCTTTGTCTCCCCAGTGGCGATGTTCACTACACACCGCACCAGGTACTCAATTTGAGGCTCAGTTGACCTAGATGAGGAAGCGTTGGGAGCGGTTCAGATTATTGCTGTTATCACTGATGGTGGTGGTGGTAGTGGCGGTGGTGGTGGTGGTGTTGGTGGTGGCGGTGGTGTTGGTGGTGGCGGTGGTGTTGGTGGTGGCGGCGGTGGTGGCGGTGGCGGTAGTGTTGGCGGTGGTGGCCGTGAGCGGGCATCGAACTCAATTCTGGCTAAATCGCATGATGACGCTGGATGTAGTCACCAGCGAAACGCCACGGTTACTCGAATTGTGAATGTTGTAGTGGGCCTTACGCCCCAACACAACCGGTTAGTTTTACTATACTACATTATGCACTACACTATACACTACACCACCATCATCATCACCACCACCACCACCATCATCACCACCATCATCATCATCACCACCACCATCATCATCACCACCATTATCATCATCACCACCATCATCATCATCACCACCACCACCATCATCATCATCACCACCATCATCATCATCACCACCACCACCACCATCATCATCATCACCACCACCATCATCATCATCATCACCACCACCACCACCATCATCATCATCACCACCACCACCACCATCATCATCATCATCACCACCACCATTATCATCATCACCACCATCATCACCACCACCATCATCATCATCACCACCACCATCATCATCATCACCACCACCACCACCATCATCACCACCCCATCATCATCACCACCACCATTATCATCATCATCATCACCACCACCACCATCATCATCACCACCACCACCACCATCATCATCACCACCACCACCACCATCATCATCACCACCACCACCATCATCATCATCACCACCATCATCATCATCATCACCACCACCATCATCACCACCACCATCATCATCATCATCACCACCACCACCACCACCATCATCACCACCACCATCATCACCACCACCATCATCACCACCACCATCATCACCACCACCATCATCACCACCACCATCATCACCACCACCACCACCACCATCATCACCACCACCACCACCACCATCATTACTAACAACACCCCATCCTCAGTAGGACCACACAGAGGGAATGGCACCTGTAAGCCGAAATCACGGGTGCGTGCAGGTGAAGTGCTTAGATATTACAGTTACAGGTGTGTGTATTTGTGTGTGTGTATCTGTGTGTGTGTATGAGTGTGTGTGTATCAGTGTGTGTGTGTATCAGTGTTTGTGTGTATCAGTGTGTGTGTGTATCAGTGTGTACACACACACAGTGTACACACACACAGGTGTCAACACACAACGCAGGTGTCAACACACAACACAGGTGTACACACACACACGTGTACACACACACACACACGTATACACACACACGTGTACACACACACACACACGTGTACACACACACAGGTGTCAACACAACACAGGTGTCAACACAACACAACGTACACACAACGTACACACAACGTACACACAGTGTACACACACACGTGTACACACACAGTGTGTGTACACACACACACAGGTGTCAACACAACACAGGTGTCAACACACAACACAGGTGTCAACACACAACACAGGTGTACACACACACACACGTGTACATACACACGTGTACACACACGTGTACACACACAGTGTACACACACAGTGTACACACACACAGACAGTGTACACACACACAGACAGTGTACACACGCACCCAGTGTACACACACACAGTGTACACACACACAGTGTACACACACACAGTGTACACACACACACACAGTGTACACACACACACGGTACACACACACACACACAACACAGGTGTACACACATAGTGTACAAACTACGTACACACACACGTGTACACACACACGTGTACACACACACGTGTACACACACACGTGTACACACACACGTGTACACACACACCCAGTGTACACACACACAGTGTACACACATACACACAACACAGGTGTACAGGTGAACTTGGCACGGGTTGCCGGGCGCACCTCTCCCCCGCTGACTCGCAAACCCGGAGCCTTGAGGCTGAGACCCGTAGGGTGGTGAGTGGTTTGAGTGTGAGGGTGGTGGGGGGTGGTGGTGGTTGGTGGGCCATGGTGGTGGTGGGTGGGTGGGTGGTTGGTTGGGTGGGTGGGTGGTTGGTTGGTGGTGGTGGGTGGTTGTGGTGGGTGGTTGGTTGGTTGGGTGGGTGGGTGGTTGGTTGGTTGGGTGGGTGGGTGGTTGGTTGGGTGGTGGGTGGTTGGTTGGTTGGGTGGGTGGGTGGTTGGTTGGTTGGGTGGGTGGGTGGTTGGTTGGTTGGGTGGGTGGGTGGGTGGTTGGTTGGTGGGTGGGTGGTTGGTTGGTTGGTGGTGGTTGGTGGTGGGTGGGTGGTTGGTTGGTTGGGTGGGTGGGTGGTTGGTTGGGTGGGTGGTTGGTTGGGTGGGTGGGTGGTTGGTTGGGTGGGTGGGTGGTTGGGTGGGTTGGTGGTGGATGGGTTGATGGTGGTGGGTGGGTGAGTTGATGGTGGTGGGTGGGTGAGTTGATGGTGGTGATGGGTGAGTGGGTGGCTGGTTGGGTGGGTGGCTGGTGGTGGTGGTGGGTAGGTGGGTGTGGGTGGTTGGGTGTGTGGGTGGGTGGTGGTTGGGTTGGTGGTGGGTGGTGGTGGTGGGTGGTGGTTCGTGGTGGTGGGTCGTGGTGGTGGGTCGTGGTGGTGGGTCGTGGTGGGTGGGTTGATGGTGGTGGGTGGTTGGGTGGGTGGGTGGTTGGTTGGATGGTTGGGTGGTTGGATGGTTGGGTGGTTGGTTGGATGGTTGGGTGGTTGGTTGGATGGTTGGGTGGTTGGTTGGATGGTTGGGTGGTTGGTTGGATGGTTGGGTGGTTGGTTGGATGGTTGGATGGTTGGGTGGTTGGTTGGGTGGGTGGTGGTACTCATGCCGGAGGAACGAGGAAGCTGAGTTGAAGACGAGAACCCCCCTCCCCTCCCTCCCCAACTCAGAGGCGAGAAGTCGATGAGGACGGCAGCCACGAGCGGACCTTCCATCATTTTAATTCTCCCATAGCCTCACTCACGCCGTCACCCTCCTCCCTACCCCGTCCTCCCCCAAGGCCCCCCTTTGATCCCCCCACAGTCTCTAGACAGACCCCCCCCCCCCACTATTCACACACAAACACACACAATCACACAACCTTCAACCATGGCTACCTATGGAACACGATCAGCTCCTGCGCCTTTTCTGCTCGTGGCGACGGCGGTGGTGATGCTGACGCTGGTGACGGTGAGACGATGGCGTTCGTGGGTTTGGGGGTTTCGGGATCTGTGGTTCAGGCTTTGGGGGTGTGCGCGTGTGTGTGTTTGTTGGTAGCGGTCAGCGCTGCGCTGCGCTACGAACCCGGCTTTGACCCGAGTTCGATTCCCGCTCGCGGACAACACCGGCAGTGACGATTATCTCAACCGGTCCTGGGTCTTCCCTAGGTCGACTCAGCCTCAAATGAGTACCTGGGGCGGTGTGTGGTAAACATCGCCACTGGGGAGACAAAGGCGGCCGGGCGTTGTGTTGGCCACCCACCCCCTCGCGTGCCACAGTGCCGGTAGCATTCACAGGTGCTCGCTCACTAACAACACTGGCCCCATATTCTTAGGTTTTTTCGGTACTTGATACAGCTGTCGTGGCTGTGACGGTTCCACTTGAGGACGGAAGCTTGTGTTGCCTCCGAAACGTCGTGATTTTTATTTTGTTTTACTTTTATAAATTTTATTTTTTTACCTACGTGACTTTACCGAAAAAACCTAAGAATATGAATCCTTGCAGTCACGAAAGCTTCAAATCTAGAACACTTGCCCCAACAGTCTGTTACAGGCTACACGGGGGATCTTTGTCTCTGTTGAACATCTTTCGCACGGTACGTAGCTACCAGCCGGCGCTCACCGAAGACGTGGGGACACGGGTCTGGAGGTCGTGATTTTGACGGCTGTGATTTGGGATTAACAGATTCGGGGATCGAGGGGGTTAAATATTTCAGGTTCGGAGATGAGGCTCCAGGGATGAGGTTAGCGATTTGACGACAGTAATTCGGGGTTATGGGGTCCAGGGATAGCGGTTCAATGTTATACGTTTAGGGCTAGGAGCTCAGGGTCAGGGGTTTCGGATATGTGGGCTCAGGGATGGGGGTGCAGTGGTTGGGGATAAGCGATACGGATTCAGGGTTATGGGTTCCATATTAGGGATTTAGCGATAATGACTAAAAGGGTTATGGGTTCAGAGATAGTGGTTCAGAGTTAGGGGTTGAGTGGTGAGAGTTTACGGATAGGGGATAACGAATAGTGATTCGATCATAGCGGCTCATGTATCGGCGTTCAATGTTTTAGGCATTCAAACATAACAGGCTAAAGTGACAAATGTTATGGATTTGCGTTCTGGGCGCCACGGTGGGCTCGGAGATGTTAACTACCTCGCCTGGTGTGCAGGAGGTCGTGGGTTCGATCTCGAACCTGACGCCTGCTGCTGCTGTATATTTGGAGTCTGCGTCTCTGTCACTCTCATTATCACGGTGGCTAGGCGATGTTAACTACCTCGCCTGGTATACAGGAGGTCGTGGGTTCGGTCTCGACCCTGATGCTTGCTGCTGTATTTGGAGCCTGCGTCTCTATCACTCTCATCATCATCACGGTGGCTAGGAGATGTTAAATACCTTGCCTGGTGTGCAGGAGGTCGTGGGTTCGATCTCGAACCTGACGCCTGCTGTATAATTGGAGTCTGCGTCTCTCTCTCACTCTCATCATCATCACGGTGTTTAGGAGATGTTGACTACCTCGCCTGGTATACAGGAGGTCGTGGGTTCGGTCTCGACCCTGACGCCTGCTGCTGTATATTTGGAGTCTGCGTCTCTCTCTCATCACGGTGGCTAGGAGATGTTAACTACCTCGCTTGGTATGCATGAGGTCGTGGGTTCGGTCCCGACCCTGACGCCTGCTGTATATTTTGAGTCTGCGTCTCTCTACCCCCCCCCCCCCACCCGTGGCTGCATGGATTTTTTTCCCCAGGGCCCTCCGGTTTTCCCCTCCACATTCGGAATCAACGTCACGCGGTTTAGACTTTGGCTGCTCTAAATGTCCGCACGCCGGTGATGAGCCACTTCGTTGAGCTATCATTCGTGATGGCCAGGCCTGCTTCTCAAGAAGAGCTCAGTGGGGCCTGGTAACATACAAAATATCATGGGTTCACAGCTGTGGATCAAGTCGAGGTTAAATTTCGATTTAAAGCTTTTTTCGTGACTGCAGGGATTCATCTTCTTGGTTCTTTCGGTAAAGTCACGTAGAAGGGAAATAATAAAATAATAAAAACAAAACATAATAGAATAATTCTCACGACGTTTCGGCCACAACGCAAGCAGCCGTCCTCGGGTGAAGAACAGGTCTGTCGGAAAAACCATTCAGACGCTGTCTTTCCGACAGACCTGTTCTTCACCTGAGGACGGCTGCTTGCGTTGTGGCCGAAACGTCGTGAGAATTATTCTATTATGTAAAATTGTATTATTATTTAATTATTTCCCTTCTACGTGACTTTACCGAAAGAACCAAGAAGAAGTCGAGGTTAGGTGATTAGGTCGGGCTTACAGCGTCCGGTATTAAATCCTGGCCAGGATTCCACAGCCAGCATTTCCCCTCCGAGGTCAATAAACAGGAACTACTTTTGTGGCCATTCGATTCGCGGGTGCCGCGATGGCGAGGAGATGCGATCTCTACTCTGTGGTTATTTCGGTAAAGTCACGTAGGTAGAAAATAATAATAATAAAAGACGTTTCAAGACCATTGGAACCTCATTTGCCAGTAACAAAATATGATAATTGTTTTTTTACCCTTCTATCTGGCAACAAAACTGACACATTTTTTTTTTTGCATTATGACTGCAGGTATTGTGGTCTATGGAAACATGACTCCTTGTAAAAAAAGGTATCAGTTTTGTTGCCAGATAGAAGGGTAAAAAACCAATTACTGTATCACATTTCAAGACGTTTCGGTCGCAACACAAGCCGCCGTCTTCACCTGAAGACGGCCGTTTGTGTTGCGACCGAAACGTTTAAAGTTTATGGGCAGTATATTCTTGGTTCTTTGGGTAAAGTCACGTAGAAGGGAAAAAAAAATATATAAAAAAAAATAGAAATTTGAAATTTTCTTGCTGTGGATTTCTTCGCCTGAAGACGGCCGCTTCTGTTGCGACCGAAACGTCTAAAGTTTATGGGCAGTATATTCTTGGTTCTTTGGGTAAAGTCACGTAGAAGGGAAAATAAAAAAATATATAAAAAAAAATAGAAATTTGAAATTTTCTTGCTGTGGATTTCTTCACCTGAAGACGGCCGCTTGTGTTGCGACCGAAACATCGTGTCGACCGAAACGTCGTGTTTTTCTTTTATTCTTTTTTCTACCCACGTGACTTTACCGAAAGAACCACAGAGTTCGGATTCCTGCAGTCACGAAAGCTTCAAACCAAGATTGAGATGTGATCTCCCTCGCCCCGTACGCAGGAAGATCGTGCAGTTCAATCCTGGAGCCTGGCGATGTCTGTTGCACGTTTGGAGTTCGCGTGATCGCGTTCCCTGTGGTGGTCGTGTGGGGTGGTCGTGTTCCCTGTGGTGGTCGTGTGGGGTGGTCGTGTGTGGTGATCGTGTGGGTTTTTTCTCTGGGTTCCTTCGGGGATATCTCCCCCACCCCCCTCCGCATTTGAAACCAAAATGCGTTCAGATCATCGAGATGATTTCGCTGTGGAGTGTATCGTGTAGTGTATAGTAGTGTATAGTGTAGTGTATAGTAGTGTATAGTGTATAGTAGTGTATAGTGTAGTGTATAGTAGTGTATAGTGTAGTAGTGTATAGTAGTGTATAGTGTAGTGTATAGTGTAGTGTATAGTAGTGTATAGTGTAGTGTATAGTGTAGTGTATAGTGTAGTGTATAGTAGTGTATAGTGTAGTGTATAGCAGTGTATAGTGTAGTGTATAGTGTAGTGTATAGTAGTGTAGTGTATAGTAGTGTATAGTGTAGTATATAGTGTAGTGTATAGTGTAGTGTATAGTAGTGTATAGTTTGTGTATAGTAGTGTATAGTGTCGTGTATAGGATAAACGTTGAGATTTATAGGGGCACGGGGTGACCAATAAGGTCTGAATTGGGTCTGTAATAAGGTAGGGCATTGATAAGGGTTTGACAGCAATGTAGTGTATAGTGTAGTTTATAGTAGTGTATAGTAGTGTATAGTGTAGTGTATAGTAGTGTATAGTAGTGTATAGTGTAGTGTATAGTAGTGTATAGTAGTGTATAGTGTAGTTTATAGTAGTGTATAGTAGTGTATAGTGTAGTGTATAGTAGTGTATAGTAGTGTATAGTAGTGTATAGTGTAGTGTATTGTAGTGTATAGTAGTGTATAGTGTAGTGTACAGTAGTGTATAGTAGTGTATAGTGTAGTGTATAGTAGTGTAGAGTGTAGTGTATAGCAGTGTATAGTGTAGTATATAGTAGTGTATAGTGTAGTGTATAGTGTAGTGTATAGTAGTGTATAGTGTAGTGTATAGAATGAACGTTGAGATTTATAGGGGCACGGGGTGACCAATAAGGTCTGAATTGGGTCTGTAATAAGGTAGGGCATTGATAAGGGTTTGACAGCTATGTAGTGTATAGTGTAGTTTATAGTAGTGTATAGTATCTTCTTGTTTCTTTCGGTAAAGTCACGTAGAAGGGAAGTAATAAAATAATAAAAATAAAACATAATAAAACAATTCTCACGACGTTTCGGCTACAACGCAAGCAGCCGTCTTCAGGTGAAGAATGAGACACTACCAAACTAGGAGCTTATATATAAGCTGCATTGGGGGTTGAAGAGCGCCTTAACAAAAAGAATGTGCATGTGAAGAGGGATTTAGCATATTCATGGAAAATGCGTAGGCGTTGGGGTGTAGTGTATAGTAGTGTATAGTAGTGTATAGTAGTGTATAGTGTAGTGTATAGTAGTGTATAGTAGTGTATAGTGTAGTGTACAGTAGTGTATAGTAGTGTATAGTGTAGTGTATTGTAGTGTATAGTGTAGTGTATAGTGTAGTGTATAGTAGTGTATAGTGTAGTGTATAGTGTAGTGTATATTAGTGTAGTGTATAGTAGTGTAGTGTATAGTGTAGTGTATCGCAGTGTATAGTGTAGTGTATAGTAGTGTATAGTGTAGTGTATAGTGTAGTGTATTGTAGTGTATAGTAGTGTACAGTAGTGTATAGTAGTGTATAGTGTAGTGTAT